ACATAATGTGTTTACAAACGAGAAATAATATAAAAGAAAAAATGAAGAAAATTTTTTTAATATTGATTTTCAGTACGTAGTTTAAACCGAGAAAACTATTAGCTATGAAAAGTTGGGATTTATTTGATTATGTTAAAAATAAACCGAAGAGAAATAAGTTTACTTTCATTATAAGACGAACGACGAATAAAACAGCTGTTAGTTCTCCTTTTCTTATAACTGCGATGTTGTTACTTTAATAGTCAGATGAATTGTCATCGGTGATCTGAATTTGTTGTTCTTTCAATGATGATGATGATGATGATGACTTCAGATGCGGACAAATAATGAATATGAATGTATGAATGTAAGTCTCTTTGAAAGTGAAAGAGAATTTTAGTCAATATGAAAAAAATACTTCGCTCTTTTTTTTTCTTCACAAACCGTTCTTACATCGTCAAACATCTGAAAGAAGAAAGACTTCATAGGAAAAAGAAAAAAACGTTAAAGAATAAAAGCAGAAAGGAAAAAGACTGCTTAATGAGAGCAACATGTGTATTTGCGAGAGAGAGAGAGAGGACAGAAACTGTTATTTATCTTCCTTCTCATTTTCTTTTGTCTACAACTATAAATTAAAGATAAAACGTTCACATAATATGTCGTTCAAAAAAATATGCTCAAGGGATGTATGTACAAGCACCTGCACATTTTAGTTTTTGATCAAGTACAAGATGAAAGAGTATCAGTCACAATAGTAGTCATACAAGTACATTATGCACACCACTTGACGTCAATTCAAACTCAAATCCGCGATGTAAAAAATGGCTGTAAAAGAATAAAGATTCATCATACTTGTGTTTTTTTCGTTATTCGAACAAGAAAAACTTTCTTCTTTTTTTTTTTTTTTTTGTTTCAATTTCTTTTTAACAATTGAGAAAATAGACGAAGTTAAAGAAATTATTATTGTTCTTGATCATTTACTTTATGACCGCTTTGATAAGACACATTGAAGAAAAGTATTCCGAAAGAAAAAAGAAACAGAAAATTATAATTGCCTGTCAAAGAAAAAGAAAACTATATTAACGTTTAATCTTTGCACGGAAACATTTATGTATACTTATAAAATTTAAAAAAAGGTCAATTGTCCTTGTTAAAATAATGTCGATGAGAAATGTATTTTCTTTTATTCTACATTCGTCTAAAGTTATTTAATTACTACCGAGAATAACTATCTAACTATTATTTGTTAATTTTTAGTAATTCTTTAAAAGTTCTATGATTTCAATGCCAATTTCTATGGTGATATTTTTCAGTGTGATTGACATTTGAATTTACATATTTATTTTTTTTTCTGTTCAAATATGTGCACCACTTTGAAAATCAAATGTCAATCTGTTAAGAAAATTTTTTTTTGACGAAGAAGAAGAAGAAGAAGAAGAATATCTTATTCCTTTTCAAATTCAAATAAGTCATCAGACATTTCTACTTGTCTTGTCCCCGATCATATGTATGAAATGTTTTTTTTTTTAAAACGTCTATTCTGAAATCGAATTCGAGTGGTTTGATCTAATCAAAATAAAAACATTTGCATTCATCAATTCTTCATATTAAGAATCAATGGTAAATAATTGACATAATGATGATCGTTAAGAATTTTGATTGTTTGCGTTCTTATTATTCTTGGCGGTTATCGATATTTGTTGAGTAACACTTGACGATTTCATTTATGATTTACAAGCACAATGGGTCACTCATTTAAGTGTTCTAACTTAGGTTTAAAATACAATAGAAAGCATTATCATAATATGAACTATAATTTACCGAGAAAATATATTGATTTCATACTAACAATATCAAGATACTTTACTCTTAATTTATGGAAAGTGATTCCTCAACAATTAATCTTAATTTAAATAACATATCAATGAATAGAGTAGAACATTATAATGTGCATGAACTACATTAAATATCAAGATACTCACAGAATGAAGAGAACAACGCAATAAAATCAATTATCTAGATATAAAATTGAATAGTTAAAGCATTGATCACATGAATAAATTAATAGTGTTTCTTTTTCGAAAGTTTAACTGAATATATGACGAAACAATGAATATTGTTTGTCTTTATTAGTTTATTGATATGAGAAGTATTTCAAGGTCAAAAAAAAAATCTATATATAGTTCCAGTTTAATTATTTTTATATCAGTATTTTGTATTACTAATTGGGCACCGTATTTTGACGAATAGTGACCAGCTTACGACGTTCTTCCTTTGTATATGGAGGTCCCGAGCTACCACCATAAGAAATGGATACAACTACACTTCGTCCATCATGTAACTCGATCTATCACAAAAGAAAACAAAAAATTTAAGTAAAAAGTAAATTATTAAAACTTTATCAAATATCTAGACAGAAAATAATTTTTCTCATTTTTCATTGGAAATTTTTTGTCTTTTTTTTTTCTTGACATAATTCTCTTCTATTTCATTTCAATCGTTCAATAAATATAATTTTTCTAAGAATTTTTTCGTTATAAAATAAATCCTTCTGTATAGAAAAAGCTTTTTTTTTATGAATTACATACGGAAAAGTCAAGGTCATATCCTTTCATAGTTGAACATTCAATATTTGCAGGTTGTAATTTGTACATTTGTGGCAACTCAGGATATGCATCACGTACTTTTTCTTCAATTACATCGCGATACTACATCGAAAAATTAAAAAAGAAATATTAAATAAAAACGAATGTCATAACCTACTAGTTCGAATTTTTGTTGATACCATGGAGTTTTAGCTAAAGTTGATGTTGATGTAGCAGGTACCGATACTGCACGTAGTAACGACGGATTAGAATTTGTAGTTGATGTTTTATTTGAAAGAACTGTATCGTCTATTGTTGTTTCATTCATCCTTATTTTGTTTTTGAACAAAATAATATCTCAAGCACTTTAGTAACGTTTGAATAATCGTTTAGTGAGTAAAGAAACGACGTACAGATGAGATGAAAAGGAAAAAAAAATAATGCAAAAATAAAAAGAAACAAAAAACGTGAAACCCCGCTGTTATTCTTTATAATCGATGCCCTTTTCACGCTTTATGCGTATATGATATTATAAACAAGTTTTGTTTTTTTTTTTTGATAATATATGTGCATGCATACGTATATATATATAAGACACTTTGACTTATAAAGAAATTATTGTATTTGTACATAGAAATTATTACTTATGGGTTTTTTACTCATCTGTCTATGAAAGTTGACAGTTTTACATTTTAGAATATCTTAAAACACGTCTTATCTAGTGAATGTATATGCACTGTATTTATATTGTATTATTAAAGTATCGTACAATAATGTATAGATACGACGTGATGATAAACAACTAATAGTCATTTTAAAGCTCTATTTAGTGCTACTAAGATTCACATGTTCTGACATATCTATGAGTTGTTTTAGAATGAAAACAGTTCTTTCTCTTTATTTTTTTTCTCTTAAAATTATTTTCCTATTATAATGGGAAACTCTAATTAACTTTTTCTAGTGTTTATCATCTTAATCTATAGTTTTTACTGAATCTCATTGGCCACAAATTAAACGTTACCTTTGAAAAGACGTTTATTAACGCTAGTGTCGAGTTAATAAAGAAATCCACCTGTTTTGCATACTTCTGATCCGTTGTTCGTTTGTAATAAGTTTGTACTATTATATGAAATAAATACTTTAGTTTAATAGTACTCTAAATAAGATATTATTTCAACATGCGGCACCAACTCCTTTCTCTTTTCGTACTACAATAATTATCAAAAAGTTTATTGTTTTCAATATTTTTTAAACTAATACAAAATATTAGGCAGTGAACATTATAAACAATTAGAATGATGCAAGTCATTAAATCTACCGAGTAATCATTCAGACCATAAAAACGTTCATTTCGGGTAAGTTAAATCATATTTGTGATTGTTTGCAGTGTACATACGGTCTTCTCATTGTACCCGTCAACACATTATATACGACGTTATATAAATACGATTGTAACTCACATTGAACAAATTTACGGTAAAATTGAACCGTATATAGTAGAATTCATAAATCATTTAGAGGGTTATTTGTTACCTTGATTATCTTATCTTATATAAACCTTAGAAAAAGTCATCGATAAAACTATGAAATAAACATAAATGAATGGCCTGCAGCATGATACATTATTTCGTCTAGTGATAGATTATTATTTTAAGTTCTTTTTGCGTTAATCTTTTTTTGTTTTGAATTCAAAAATTATTATTTGCATTTGATGGTAGACACATGCATACAACAGAATGCATTAATATAGCACATGCTACTATTTCATTTAGTGAAAAAAATGGACATTTGATAAAATCGTTCATTTCAATCTTTTTTACTAGTGATCTTGTATGCTTGTGAACTCTTATATATATGAAGTTATCTTATCCAATGGGATTATATAGTACAATTAAGACGTTTGAATTTACGAAGAGAGATATTCTCGTTAATTTAGTTTGTTGCATTAATAATTATAGAGAAAAATAAATTAAATAATTTGTCATTCGCATTAGACATTATAAAGATTCAAATTACTCTTTTGAGTCACATACATCTACCTAATGAATGAAAATTACGACTGGTAACAGCGAAAAACTTAACAAATATATTGATAAATTTGACAAATAAACAATTTTACTGCTCTTCGCAGCAGAAAAAATCTGATGAAAACATTATACAGTTAGATAATCATTTTTAAATAATAGATCAAAGTTGAATGAACAAACGATTATTAACGAAAATAATATATTACAATGTGCTTAGTTATACGAACTGATTCCAATAATACTATTTAGCAAACTTTATTATATCAAAGTGTAGTGCATATGCTTATTACTAGTCAATGTCGACGAACCTATTACATGCATTGAAAGCATCAGTCTTAGAAATCAATTAGATGGTTCATCTATGACGCGCCTACCATCTGACTCATTATTTCAAAAAAAAAAATGATCAATGTCTCTTGTATATCTACATATCTTCCTTTTTCTTACAGTTACTCTCTTATTCGGTATAGAAACAACAATTCCTGCTACATTTTATTGTAGTCTTCACTTTATCGTTGACTATCCACTATGGACATTGGTATAATAATTTAGATTAATTCTTTTTTTGTTTTTTAAGAATCAGTTATTTTCAACTATAATTTATTATTACTTAGACATACACAACACGAGCAGATCACGATTATTTTCGAACAAATACTTTACTAAGTACTTATATCTATCGAAATGTAGAAGGACTCAATGAACTCTACAATCGTTATCATTTTCCGTATACGTCAAAAACAAAAAATATTACTATACAATTCTTTGTACATGGTATAACAGGTAATTTATGCATGACGTTCGTATAAAAATACTAGCAATATATTTAATTTATATTTTAGTCGTGACACGAAATGTATGTGATCAAAAACACACTAAAAACAATGATATAGAGAATCCTCTACGAGAATTTTGTTCACCAAATATAAATAGTGATACACTTTTGGATCTAATTGCTCGATTTGGTGATTATGATAGGAAAACAAGTAATAACAAACCAGCATGTCTCTATTATGGATTTACATCAAGAAAACTTAAATCACAAAATAGTAAAGCAACTACATTAGGTAAATATGAATTGACAATTATTTTTATTCAATCAATATTTACATAGCATCTTTTTAGGATGGTCATGGAGAGGACATCTTTGTACTGAATTAAAAGAATTGAGTAGTTGGTCACCAAAAAATAAAGGTTTTAATCCTCGATATTCTGGTAATGTGGGTGTTGTTACAGCTAGTTTTGATGGAAGCGAGTAAGTGTATACATATTTGTTAGTGTATTAAAATCTATTTAATATATACATATATTTTAGTTATAGCTTGAATAAGTATGTCTTTTATTATTATAAAATTTCTTTTTTCGATTTTAAAAAAATATTATATATAATAATTAGAGGTGAAATGACATTTTTTCATGAAATTGGCCATTCAATGAATGCTGATCATGATGATGCAAATGAATTTAAAGATCGACAACAAGAATGTAATCCATCAGATGCACAAGGTGGAAGCTATCTTATGTATCCAACCGGTACTGAAGGACTGTTGCCAAATAATCGAATTTATTCTCATTGTTCACTTGATACGATTTCGTATGTATTAAAATTTAGAAAAAACACAATTATCTCTCTTTCATAAGCCTATTATTTGATATTTAAACTATATAATCGTTAGAAAATATACAGAAATACTTGGTCAATGGAAGCCAAAATGTTTGTTAACTACAAAGACAGTTAAAAGCAAATGTGATGGTATTTTTTCAGTAGACGAAATTTGTGATGAATATGGTACGTCTAGCAACTGTTGTACGTCAGATTGTAAACTCAAATCGGGTGCTGCTTGTTCACCAGCAAGTTTAAATTTGAAAGACAAAAAATGAAAAACATTAAATAGATTTTTTTTTTCTTCAGTCTGCTGGTTCATGTTGCAAATCTTCATGTCAATTTCATTCTGCTGGTCATCATTGTCATCCTGAAAGTGAATGTAAAATGTCTATTAAATGTTTAGGTACTTCAGCAACTTGTCCTGATGATGATAGAACATTTTTTAAACCAGATAAAACTATTTGTCGTAATGGTACTTTACTTTGTATAAATGGTTCATGTGAATTATCTATTTGTGCATTATATTCTCTTTTACCATGTCAATTAAAAGTATCTGCGGATAAATTATGTATGATTGCTTGTCTACAAAAAGATGGTTCATGTGTACCTTATCATACAATTGATACGAATTCAGATTCTTCTAAACCTTTGTATTTTCCATGTAAGTAAGAATAGGATATAAATTATTGATGATAATAATAATCATTATTTAGATGGTTCATTATGTGATTCAAATCGAGGATATTGTGATCAATCTCATCAATGTCTTCCTCTATTATTAGATGATAATACAAATTTAATTAGTGCTGGATTTAGTTCTCTTCTTCTTACTAATTATTTAACTATATTCAAACGTTATTGGTGGGCATTCATATTATTTATTCTCGCTCAAATTATTTTAATTCCAATTGGTCTATTATACTTTCGTAGTCATTGTATTCCTTCAGATAATCCTTTTCTTCAATGAAATATTCATAATATTAACAACGTTTTACTTTTTTTTTAAAAAAATATCAAATAAATAGATAGGGTGTGTGTGTGATTCTCCTCAGCATCGTAATTTACTCACATCCGAGTACAAATCAAAAGATTTTCAATCAGTAAATATACTGATGTAATTAATATTCATCGTACAGAAGACAAAATAGCACTAGTTAATGAACAAATGAACGTAAAAAAATAAATTCAAGTTCACTTAGAGCACAACAATCAGCTCAATCTAAATATTGATCATTACCTATTGATTGACAATTACCTTAAATTGAACATAAATAAAAAAAAATCTTTATAATTTCGAATATGAATTTGAATTTTTATTTTAAATAAAACGTTGAAGAGCTGGACAGTTATGCGCTAGGGCAGATGAAAGATATAGTCTGAATTACAGATCTTGTAGATCGTTCTTCGTCTTCAACATCTTTTTGACTTTCACGAAACTATTCATATCATCTTTCAATTGTTCTAAGAGGTGAAGAGGTCTGACCGTCGAAAAGAATATTTAGTTTATCATTAACAAGTCTCGCTTGAATATATACTGCAGTACAATATATTTTGTAGGAGTGAAAATTTTCCTTATCGAACAGAATCAGAAGTGAACAGTTTTGATTGAAATTCTTATATTATCACAGTAACTAAAGAATGGTGAAGTATTATAGAATTACAGAGCACTCTTTCGACTATTAGTATGTACACTAGGTATCAAAATTATTCAATTAGTAGATGACTCTGTATTCTTTTGTGTGTATCTCAACAAGTAGATGAGTTAGATTCATCTGTTTTTTGTCAGATTACAGCCTATAGTGTCTAGTATAGTAGTAAAAAATTTCAGATCAATCCCTTGTGACGAAAAATGACAGAAGCAATGTTAGTGTTGATGGGGTTACATTTTATTCTATTCCTTCATATCATATAATCGTATCGTTTACATATAAAGCACACGCTTATATATACGAGTAGAATAGGGGAAGATGAAAAGAAAGAAGATGAGGCCAAGAAGAGAACAACGTAAGAAGAAAAAAGTGATGAAGACAAGGAGAGAACACATATAGAAGAACAACAGAGTAAGGACACAGCATATGAATAGATAGATGAGAACAATACATATAATATACGAGTGAATGATGATATAGAATGAGAAGTTCATTACGACAGAGAGAGAAAAAGGTTCAATCATGCATAGATAAACGTAACAGTAACGCGGTTATGAACACTACATCCCATTGATTGTAGAGCAACACAGTGAGAAAGAAAAGATGTCACATAAGATAATATACCCATTGGCACATCCATTGATCTGTTTAGTTTTTATTGACGGTACAATTATAGCATGCCGTTTCTCATTGTTCCAAAATTATCCAATCATTTATTGTTACAAACTGTGGTGCATACCTGTTCGAAGTTAGAGTTTTGGTTATGATACAAGATTCACTAGAATAACTTACATTCTACGTAAGGAGTACTTTTTAATCGCAGCTTCTCTTTGAGTAGGATTAAAAAACAAAAGAATCTTTTTATTGACCCATATCTGAAATTTTCAATAGAAAGCCTACATAGGACAGTTTTCTCCTATAATATTTAGCTAATATCATTGTTCAATATATCATTACCAAAAGCAGTATAAATTGCGATTGTCGATGTGGGAATCGGCGTGAGTATTCTCGCCGACCACACCCATATCGTGCCGATGAGTACAGTATTATTTCCTATTGCTTTTTTTGCACAAATACTATCAGAGTCTGATCGAGCATGAGATTTTGCATGTGAGTGTGAATCTGCTCTTCACATGCACACCCATACTCTCGCTAGCGTGTCGTATTAACATGGAAAATTTCACTTGAGAACAATGTAAATGTACGATGTCACTAATATACCAACTCCTTAATTATAATAGATCGAAAGAGTTTAATACCATAGATAATCTATGTTACTGATATTCTTGACAGACTGTTCATATGAGCTTTCCAAAATGATTTTTGTCATGATGGTCAATTGAGTCGCTACAGTCAATGCAAACTAATCAAAACAGCGCGTTAAATATAGCGATCCAAATGGCTATCTTCACTCTCATCGTTAGTGCATCATTGCGTAGATCGCATGGAATGACCAAAACTTTTCGTGAACCTCAGTTGACACTGTCGAAGCGTTTTATTTTTTTGCATTGATTGTTTCGACTGAGACTCACTTTATCTGACCTAGATGATGATTTCGACTTCGACATTGACATGATGAGTCATGCATATGTGATCATAGACTATAAAGAAAGAAAGAAAAAAAGAAAAAAAGAGAAATATTTTTCATATTCTCTCATCTGAAAATTCATTTGTTATCTATCCTATATTCTATCTATTCATTCGTGTTCTTTTCCTCATACTGTATATTTGAAGAAACTGTGTGCTCGCCCAATTGCCCATCTTTTCCCAGTAAGAATAAACATCCACATATTCGCACGTATTGTTACAATCGAGTAAGATTCAATGTGTATGATGTATATGTACATTAGTTGTGTTATCAGATACTTGTTTAAAAGTGAAATTTCGATAGTTAAGTTGTAGAAGTGAAAACACAAGTAGAGCCATTCATTTACTAAGTTTAGAATGTCAGCATTGCATTAATTTTAGTTTTACTAAGTCGATCTTAAAAACAACTGTCTATTTTCTTGTACGCAGTTTTCAAACTCAAGAGCCCACTAGACAAAAGTTTCGACGTGAAATTATGACAAGTATTTATTAAGAGACTCATCAGACAATGTCTGTTTAATATATATTACATCCTGACATACAACTTGTAATTATAAGTGCATATGTTTTATCTCCAGTTTGTTTTTTTTCGTAATTTTTAAATATATTCCGAAACTGAAAGTTCTTTAGTTGGAAGTACTTGATCGATACATTATTTTCCCTATACAATTAACTATTTTATTTTAAACAAGATTCAATAGATAGAACTTTTTCTCTTGTCTTTCGTTGATTCTCTTATTTATTCGGTATGGAACTTAAATTATTTCCTGGGTAATACTTGAAAATTGAGAAGGAACTAGTGTTGAGATTTAACGAAGAAAAAACATATCTTAGAAAGAGAAAACAATTTAGATTAAGAAAGTTATTCTTATTGTTTTTTTTCTCTTTTGAGAAGACAAATGTTGATAGAAACTTATAAGCAGATTGAGGAAAGTTTCCTCACCGAGAACAACTATACCATAAATTCTTACATCTTCCAATTTCTGAAAGTTAAATATGAAGTAGTGATATTGATGTGCTGGCTATAAAGTATATTTCGTTGGTTTTTTTCGATCTGTTCTAGCGTAATGGAATCACTTTTTTTTCACCTTGCCTTTTCAATATCTCGATGAAATGAAGTCGGACAAGGCTGAACCGTTTACGAGTTATGTAACAAAAATGGACTTGAATTTTCACTGTTTTTCAAAGAATAGAAAAACTTAGCGCAACTATAAGTGTGATGAAAAAACTTTTTCTAACAAAGTTATAGCTCAAATAAGGAGCTATGTGTACAAAAAAGAAAATTTGAAAAGAAAAACGTAATAGTAATTTTGTAGACCGAACAAAATCGTTGTGATGGGATCACGTTATAGAAATAATGATGTTTTTTTTAAAACTTTTACTTTCTTCAGAAAGTTGCACAGTAGTACATCATAATTAAAAGACTATTATTCCATAAAAAAAAGTCTAAAGTCTAAACCGTAGTTTTCTTCACATTTTTAACAACACGCATATGGAATTAGGGATGCCATTGTGACAATTCACCATCCACTGCTAGAGTGATCAGTTACTGTTATGGACACCAAGTAACTGTTAATGGAGAATTTGGTGAGAAGTGGTCTATGTCGCGAAAATAATGATTTCGTATAAAATTTGAAAGAATGCTTTTGAGGTCGAGAAATTCGGTTCCATTAGTGATTTCTTTAAATTTTTGAGTTTGACCTTTTCAGGAAGCCACCCATATGGATTCAGATTCTTCGGCTTCCTAAGTTTTCGTGACTTGTCACAGGGCAACAGGCGAGTCTCGGTAACTTCTCGTCCGTTGTTCACTAGTGAATCATCTCCTGATGCTACTAATCTAGCTACTCAACTAATCACATATTGCCACGATTGTCTGTCAATGAAATCAAATAACTTTTTTACTGGTTTTTTAAGCCTGAGAAGTATGAACAAGATTTATTGGGTGAATAAGGAAGTATCATTTCTCACTGTAGTAATAGAACTTCACATTAACATACGTTTTTGCATTAGAAGAATTGGAGAATACGGTAAATAGGAAAACAGTAATTGAAAAGAGAATTGTTTGCATAAAATCTGTTTCTCTTTATATATCGTCTATAATTACGCTTATATCGAGTTGTGCAACTGTAAGAGTCACGTGGTCACAATAATAGCACAATATCGGCAGAAAAAAAAGGAAGAAGAATACAAAAAGTACAATATGATTGATTAATAGAACGATATATTGAATTGAAAAATGAGAAATACCGACTATTCAGACGATACCGCGAGTCTATATTACCTAAACTAGATGCTGCCAGAATAGGCTCTAGCAATAACTGAAACCATCGTAGAATTACTCTACAATTAGGCATTAGGGTTCAAAATTTGCTTTTCTGGAGTCAAATATCTGTTTAAGGTGAAAACTTCAAAGAAAAACAGTGTTTCGATGTTTTACGACAAAAACTTGATCATTCGACGGTGATTCAGTAGGTCAGCTTTCTTCACTTAGATATACCGTTATGTGGACAGGTCGTTTTTCAATTGTCTAGTAGGAATTGCTCTGCAATGACTTAACAATTTTTTTAAAAGATTCACTGGAAGCTTTTCTGCATATCTCTTTTGTGTGCAGCACCCAAAATTTTTCGGACCGTTTCTATTCAAAAACGAGCACGCGTTGTTGAGTTGGAATTGTTATTTGTTTGTCGCTCATCAACTATTCAGTTTATAGACATCATAAGCTCTGATCAGT